TGCTTCCAGCCATCCTTAACCTCGGTTCAGAGTCCACTCAATGTGGACATGCTAGTTCGAATTAGCAAAATGCTAATTCGAACTAGTTTTTAGGTCTAGATGCACTAGTTCGAATTAGCTTAGTTCGAATTAACTAATTCGAATTAAGTTAGTTCGAATTAGTGCTGTAGTGTAGACATACCCAAAGAGACCTCACCACACCATGGAGCTTGCACTGATCAGGGTTCCCAGATGGTGATGGGAGCTAGAGGTCCAGAGAGCAGGAGACGAGCAGAGCCCCCAGCTCGATCAGAAAGGAGATGAAAAAGTATCAATGGAACTGATGCAGTTTAAATCCAGGTATCAGAACAGTTTTTCTTGGGCAAGGGTATGAGTTTTTATAGCAATAGCACAATAGTTTGAAGAGAACACTGGATGGATGCGTCTAGACTGGCATGATTTTGCGGAAATACTTTTAACGGAAAAGTTTGTCCGTTAAAAGTATTTGCGCAAAAGAGCATCTATATTGGCAAGAACACTGACAATCTTACATTAGATCGTCAGTGTTCAGTCTGGCATATCTGATAATCCGGCACCCCCTGGGTCCTAAAGGTGCTGGATTATCAGAAGTTTACTGTATATAGAAACAAAGCTATAAGCTTGGCTTCATCTACAAAAAGTCATTAGTCTACAACTTCCGATAGTCTGGCATATCTGATAATCCGGCACCCCCTGGGTCCTAAAGGTGCTGGATTATCAGAAGTTTACTGTATATAGAAACAAAGCTATAAGCTTGGCTTCATCTACAAAAAGTCATTAGTCTACAAAAAGCTGAAAGATACTATTAATGAAGAAAATGATACAGGGTAAGTGAAAAAAAACCCACCTAAGTAGGTAGGGGTGTCTGTCTGTGTCTTAACAGAAAGGTCAACCAGGCTACAAAACAGTCTCCACTGAATGTGATGACAGCTAATTAGTGTAGTTCTCCAGAAGCAGAGAAGTATTTTCCAACCAGATTTTCCCATCCCTTTCCTCTTCCTTTAAAAAAGTACAACACAGGCATACAAAAGTTAGTTGACCACTTACTGAATTTCTCTGGATATCTTGCTCAGCTTTTGACGAGAATACTGAAAGGTCCCCATTAAGAATAACCTCAGCCAGCGAGTTCACCAGAGGTGCATAATGTATAGTCAGGAATACCTATTACAAGTGGGAGGGAGAAAAGAAGGTTACAATATACAGTTTTAGACACAGAAGGCATTTTCCCCAAATAATTACATTGTTACATTTCTTGAAGCTACATAATGTCTAATAAAAACACAAACTGGGATATACTTGAGCTCTAATTAGTATTCAGGAGCAACACAGACCATAATCCCTTTCTACATCAAATTAATCTCCCTTTCCCTGAATTCCAAGCCTGATGGATAGTCTACTGGGCCATTGTTCACTAGTTTCCTTTTATCCTCTTCCAACTAAGCATTATTTATTCCTCCCGATTTGTTTTAAGAAACATGAACATATTAATCGAAAATGTTCCAGGGCTTCCTGTGGCAAGGGGGAACCTTTGACTTCCTATTTGGAAGTGATAGGCTAAAATCTATATAAATACCTTTCAGGCTTTCAGTAGCAATATGCTCTCAAAGACTAACTTGGAGCTACCCTTTAGAAGTCATTCAGAAATATAAGACAATGGCCGGCCTGCTTGCTCACAGTAATGCCCTGTAGGGACGTTAAATATTGGTTAATTGAATAGTCGATTAACCTCATGAATTCTTAGCGGTTACTCGACTCTTCTATAGTCCCCAGGGTTGGGGCTGGCAGCCAGTGTGCTCCAGCCCCGCTCCCGAGGAGCCTCCTGCCACTCCACGCTGCTGCCTCTGTAGCAGAGGCAACAGCGTGGGACAATTCCCCTGGCAGACTGTCTACCTGTTGCCCCATACTGTTGACTCTGATTTAGAGGCAGCAGCGCGGGGTGGCAGCAACCCCCTGTCCAAGGGAGTCAGTGCTCCCGGACCACACGCGAACAAGAATTGAGTGGGCTGCCTGCCTTTAAATGCAGAACAAAGAGGGATAGGTCCTGGACCCAGCACAAGCCGGGACAGAGCCAGACTGCTGGCCAGCCTGCTAAAAAATTGACTGGCACTGGGGGAAGAGGGGAAGAATGTGTGTAGTCTATAGCATTAACCTATAAGCTTTTGCTCATCGGTTAATCAACTAGAATATTACATTCCTAGTGCCCTGTGTAAGTACCTGGCATCAGGGCTTTGGGAACAGCACTGACTTCCCATCTAATGCTGGATGCAATTCAAATTGTTAGTTCTAAGCTACAAAACTTCATTGTATAGAGTTTCTAGTATGTTAATGCTGCTCTCTGTCTATGCAACATGGCAGAAATCAGTAAGGTTGTTTTATTAACAGTTGCTTAATGTGTTCTCTACAAAGTTATTTTAGTGGAGGAATCTGGTTGTTCAGCTTTCACTTTCTCAGAGATATTTATTGACCTATAGAGATCTATATTTCAGGAATCTTTGATCAAGCCTTTGCTTCACTATAGACCATCACAATATTAATTAACAACTTAACATTGACTGAGGAGATATAAGCAGGGAAGCAGTTCTTGTATGCGAGTAATTATTATAATCCTGCATTTGTACTGACAGATGCTATTACAATAAGAACACAAAATAAACAGGTTATAATTTGTAAAATGTAATCTCAGGTCAGATGGACCAAGCCATAACATAACACTGAGTCTATACTAACTATATAGTTAGGCCCATAAAGAAAGAGTTTTGCTGCAGTGACATCAAGATGCTGAGTACTGAAGTGGAAATATACTATTCAATATTATGAATACTGCTCCGCCCCTAGATATACACTCTTGATCCTCAATGATTTCATGATTTAGAAGAAATCACCCCCGTCAGCAGAGATAGCATCTACATAAAAGTACTATAGTGTGGCAGCTGTGCCTTTTATTATTTTAAGTGTAGACAAGCCTGAGGTATGATCAATGGCTTGATGTCAGGTTGGTGGTCGATTTCTAGCGGAATGCCCCAAAGATGGGTTCTAGGACTGGTTTTGTTCAACATCTTTATTAATGACCTGGATGAGGGGATGGATTGCTCCCTCAGCAAGTTTGCGGATGACACTAATCTAGGGGGAGAGGTAGATACACTGGAGGGCAGGGATAGGGTCCAGAGTGACCTAGACAGATTAGAGGATTGGGCCAAAAGAATTCTGATGAGGTTCAACAAGGACAAGTGCAGAGTCCTGCACTTGGGATGGAAGAATCCTAAGCATTGTTATAGTCTGGGGACCGAGTGGCTAAGTAGCAGTTCTGCAGAAAAGGACCTGGGGATTACAGGGAATGAGAAGCTGGATATGAGTCAACAGTGTGCCCTTGTAGCCAAGAAGGGGAATGGCATATTAGGTTGCATTAGGAGGAGCATTGCCAGCAGATCTAGAGAAGTGATTATTCCCCTTTATTTGGCTCTGGTGAGGCCACATCTGGAGTATTGCATCCAGTTCTGGGCCCCCCCACTATAAAAAGGATGTGGATGCATTGGATAGGGCCCAGCGGAGGGCGACCAAAATTATTAGGGGCCAGGTGCACGTAACCTATGAGGAGAGACTGAGGGATTTGGGTTTGTTTAGGCTGCAGAAGAGAAGAGTGAGGGGGGATTTGATAACAGCCTTCAACTTCCTTAAGGGAGATTCCAAAGAGGATGGAGAAAGGCTGTTCACAGTAGTGACGGTTGGCAGAACAAGGAGCAATGGTCTCAAGTTACAGTGGGGGAGGTCTAGGTTGGATACTAGGAAAAACTATTTCGCTAGGAAGGTGGTGAAGTACTGGAATAGGTTCCCTAGGGAGGTGGTGGAATCTCCATCCCTAGAGGTTTTTAAGTCTCGGCTTGACAAAGCCCTGGCCAGGTTGATTTAATTGGGATTGGTCCTGCCTTGGGTAGGGGGCTGGACTTGATGACCTCCTGAGGTCTCTTCCAGCTCTATAATTCTATGAATAAATAGGTCCCAGAAGCTACTTTGCACAGCTGGGTGATGTTTTATCGGATCAATAATATGTTCTTTGACAAATACATTTTCAGTCAACCCAAAACTATTGTGAATTTGACACCAAAATAATTTGGACTAGTTCGGGGTGGGCAAACTATGGCCTGTAGGCCACATCCGGCTCATCAAAACTTTCAATCTGGCCTTTGAGATCCAATGTCCTGCTCCAGCACTCCTGCTGAGGAACACGAGCTTGCCCCACTCTACCTTTCAAGTGCTTCAGCCAAGAAGAGAGGTTGGGGACTTGCTGTGAGCATTCATGGCCCACCATACACTTTCCATACCTAGATGTGGCCCTCAGGCCAAAACGTTTGCTCACCCCCGCGCTAGATTCACAAGAGGACTTAAGTGTCAATCACAAAACAGCTAGAGGACATCCTTTATTACTTTCAGCCAAGTAGTTAAAGTAGTTACCTGGAAAGTGAGACACCCAGCATACATCTGCCTCTACCCCAAACCCTGCTTGATGCAGAGCAAGGATGTGAATCTTCAAGGCAAGTGCACTAGCCACTAAGCTAGAATCAGTCTCAGTTCATACACCCTACGTCTGGCCATAGATTATTCAAGACAGTGCTCCCCAAATGAAATTTCACTTTACCAAAAAAAATTTTAAACTTTTTGGATTGAAAGAACGGTTATTGACTATCTCTAATGCGGAGTACTTCAACCCTCTCACTGATATCATATAGTTTAGAGGGCTCAAAACATCTTATAAGATGCAGTCAGTGACTCAGAAGACTGAAAATCTTATATTCAAGGGGATTGTTACTATAAGGTCTTATTTCCAAAGTCAATACACCTAACTCAAGGTGAAAATGATGCATGTACCAGAAACTTAGCACCACTGCAGCGTTTCTTTGCTTGAGGCAACAAAAACAAGTGATACTGTTTTTGCAATGCCTAATAATTGTCAGAGAAATCAATCTGTATACCCCCATAAAAAGGCAGATTTAAGAATTTGTAGATATAGAAATAAGTCATTTTAAAATATTGTCAAGAAATCTACAAGAAATCCCAAGACAATAAAATACGTTGACCAAAATGTATTTCTTTAAAAATGTAAATGTAATGAGCATGTACGTAGGTTAATATTTAGCTGACAAGCTTTTCCAAACTCCAGCATAAATAGCATTAATCTAAAGAATAAAAATAAGCATCTGTTACTGTCCAAGAACTTTCACTGATCTATATGTTTCACCACTCACTCAAATTCCCCTATTTAAAATAATGTTTATGTTGGTACTCTAGTCTATGGTAAAACTACCTAAATGGGATGCGAACAATCCATAATGGCATTTTCAATCACTGGAAGATATATCATCTGCTTAGTATACAGCCACTTATTTTTAATTTTGTAAATACAAGAAAGCTTGTTTATCTTTTGATCACGTTTCTCAAGAGATAAAACAAAGGTACTGCTTGCTTGTAATTTGGCACACAAGAGCGAGCATTCAAAATGCCAATTTTCACTTGTTCTAGTCAAATTAAAATTTGGAATGATGTATTCTGCCTGTAGTTGCGCTAAATTCTGTATTCCTCACTTCTGGCCCAATGCCAGCATCCAATGCTGTTATATAGTGTTTAACAGTTGCTGCACTCCACTCCACTTCCGAAGTGACTACACTAAACTGGCAAGTGTTTTAGTGGTGTTCTAAATATTTTGTTAGCTAATGTTTGTAAAGTATTCTGAGAATTTCCAAGGAAAAGGGTAGTACAGGTTGAACCTCTCTAGTCCAATGCCCTCGGGACCTGACTGGTGCCAAACCAGAGAATTTGCCAGACCACAGGAGGTCAATATTGTCTAGCAGCATTACCAAGGCTACCAGTGCAAACGGGGCTCTTAAAAGATATTTACTGGTAAATTAGAGCTTAACAACAGCTGGACTGGATGCCAGGACTGATGGCTGTAAACAAACAATGGGATTGGGGGAAACATGGCCACACCCATGATAGGTGGACATTCTGCTAACTAAAATCATGCCAGCCTACAGATGTTGTTGAAACAGAGTATTAGATTAGAGAGGTTCAACTTGTAGTTGGGCCATGTGATGACAAGTGAATTAATCATTTTAAAAAATGCACAAGCAGCCCTTGAATGTACACACTGCATCTCACAAAAGAGCACAATTTTCTCTCCAGATGTATAGCTGAAAACAGACCCTCTGAAACACACAATTTATAATGAAATTACTGACATCATAAACTTCACACTGAAACATGACATACTTGTGAGAGAAGATAGAGAGAAACTTGGAGACTTATTTTTGGACGCTCCCCACGCTATGGAAGAAACAAAAGAATGATCAGTTAATTACAGAAAGCTAAATTATTACACATGTACATAGAACAAAAGCCAACGTTTTAAAAATAAAATACAGAAAACAAGTATAAACATTTCATTTATTCATGTGTACTACCTCCCCAATGCTACACTATTCCAAGGAATATGCTGACACTTTCTAGTGACACTCCAGTTCTTTGGAAAATGATTTCAAAAGAATGAGTTTGTCATTTATTGTACACTTGAAAATATGGCTACACACTGTTTTTGAAGCCAAGATTTCCTGTAATATTTGTTTTTACCAGATGCTTACGTGAGAAGTACATTTGTACCCCTCCGACATAGCCTTAGAACTTTTGAAATGGCAATTTCATAAAAGGAAGCTTTTATAATTTATTATTACAGAGTTAAATCAAATCTATATACATTTTACTGGAGTTGTTGAATTCTGCCTTCATAGGCAATCTATGTCCATTATCAGAATACAATAAATGCTTATAGAATGGCAATACTCTAAAGTCCCCATTATAATTAGAATAATCTGTATTTTGGAAGAACCACTAATAACCATAGAAAAGAGAACTATTTATTGGTTTTTTTTTCAAGATATATACTGTCCCTCTTGTCTGAACCATGTTTTAAATTACTAGGAAATAACTTTCATGAAAATAGGATTTTTGCATATTTTTGTATTTGGAAGTCAATTTTCTGTTCAAAAAAAGATATGGACAGACACAGTTGAAGCATAAGACTGGAAGTCATAAAATCTGGTCTACCTGTAGTTCTGCCACTAACTCTCTGTATAATGTGAAGATAATTATTTAACTCGGAAGGGGATATGACAGGTTAAATTAATTAACACATAAAAACACTAAAATCTTTTGATGGTGGGCTATATACAGTAAAACTCCAATAGTCCAGCACTCCTGATAGTCCGGCATCAAAATGGGAAGAGCCTAGTGAGTGAGCTTTGGCAAAAAATGAGTCACAAGGTAACAGCGGCAGCAGCTGAACTGAGCAAAAAGGGTAAAAAAGGCTTAAAAAAACTAAAACATTACAGTATACTGTATACAGTATGTACAATAAAAAGGGTTAAGAACACTTTATATACAGTATATAATGTATACAATATAAATATAACCTGCTTATAGTACCTTCTGATAGTCCGGCATATCTGATAACCCGGCACCACCTAAATCCCATAGGTTCCGGATTATCGGAAGTCTACTGTAGGTATGCAAAGCATGATGAATCTTCAGAGCAACTGGTATGACACAATTATGACAAGATGGACATTGTATAAAAACCTAGATTAGATTTAAGCAAAACTTGTATCTGTTCCACACAGTACATAGCAAATCTGATTTAGTCCGTCTATGGAGAGCACAGATGACACTTAAAATTAGTGTCGTGTTTAAAAAAAGAACACAAAGATTTAAAAAAAAAAAAAATCAGACTAGATGCTAGGTGTGGATTTGAAAATTGTATATGAATTTTATATGAGAATTTTAACTAACAGAGATCCTGTTTTCAATCTTAAAATTGTTTTAAGCATATTTCTGATCTAATTACACTGGCCTTTTAAAACATATTACAGAGAAATTCAAACTTAGACCTGAACTTTCCACTCCTGTCCCTCTCTCTACTGCTAACATGAAATGCTAAGCAATGGTTAATAACTAAAATTGACTCCAAGCAAATAATTAACTACATTAGCCAATGTACATCAGTCTTTAGCTAAGTACATATATACCGAAAACAGCACTACTCCAGCAGTCATCTCTTAATTTAAGAAAAACAAAGACCTGAATTATTAAAACTATGTTTCTTATAAAGTACTTAAATGCAGAAGATATTTATTCTATTATGGGATACACTTACTATACATATTACTGTAAATACTGAGGGGAAATCATTCAGTGATTAGTTAAGTCTTAATAATTAATCATGCCAGCTATTCCTTACCTTATCTTGATTTACTAATGAATATACATAGAGGGGCAGAAACAACCTATTAAGTAGGTGGTCTGTGAGCACATCATTTAAAAATTCACAATTAATGATAAGGATATCATTAAGATAATGCAAATGATCCAGATGTTCTGCTACCAAATCACTCAGTTTGCCTCTATTTCTGTGCCTGAAAGAGACAAAGATTTAAACATAGCTAAGGCAGAAGAATAAGAATAATTAGAACTCAGTGAGAGAATGTATTTGCATTGTTTTTCTATGCCTTACTTTGTGCAGTATGACTGTCTAATGCAAACATCCAAGATACCTCCTATAATCCTGGAGATTTGACAGTCAAAATGAAGCAACTGAAGGAGAGTTGACAGACTGGACCTATACATAGAAAGCTTCCACCTATGTGCACTGGTAGAGATTGTGGAAAAGCAGCATCACTTGCCCCATAACCTTAGCCGTGTGGAATGCAATGCCATCCACAGCCTCAGAAATAACTCTGATATCATAATCAAAGAGGCTGATAAAGCAGGTGCTGTTGTCATCATGAATAGGTCAGACTGCCAGACAACTCTTCAATATCACATTCTACAGGCCACTTTCCTCAGATCCCACTGAGAAATACACTAAGAAATTGCACCAGAATCTACACTCCCTACACAAGCACAGGACCAAATCTACATAAACACACCCTTAGGGCCCCAACCAGGGTTATTCTATCTACTATCCAAAATCCATAAACCTGGAAATCCTAGATGCCCCATCATCTTGGGCATCGGCACTCTCACTGCAGGACTTTCTGGATATGTGGACTCTACTTAGACCGTACACCACCAGCACTCCCACCTATCTTTAAGACTCCACTGACTTCCTGAGAAAACTACAATGCATTGGTGATCTTCCAGAAAACACCATTCTAGCAACCTTAGATGTAGAATAGTGATAGAAATGTAGCTGTGTTAGCCTGGGGTAGCTGAAGCAAAATGCAGGACAATGTAGCACTTAAAAGAAAGTGCTACATTGTCCTGCACTTAGATGTAAAGGCTCTCTACACCAACATCCCACACATAAATGGAATACAAGCTATCAAGAACAGTATCACTGATGATGCCACGACACAACTAGTGACTGAGCTCTGTGACTTTATCCTCATACACAATTATTTCAGATTTGGAGACAATTTATACCTCCAAACCAGTATAGGCAGTATACCGTTATAGGCACCTTCATGGCCCCACAATATGCCAACCTTTTTGTGGCTGACCTGGAACAACGCTTCCTCAGCTCTCATCCACTAGCACCCCTCCTCTACTTACACTACATTGATGACATCGTCATCACCTGGACCCATGGGAAGGAGACTCTGGAAGAATTTCACCGTGATTTTAACACTTTCCACCTTCCTATCAACCTCAGCCTGGACCAGTCTACACAAAAGATCCACTTCCTGGACACTACAGTGCAAATAAGTGATGGTCACATAAACACCACCCTATACCGAAAACCTACTGATCGCTATGCTTACCTACATGCCTCCAGCTTCCATCCCAGACACACCACACAATCCATTGTCTACAGCCAAACACTGAGGTACAACTACATTTGCTCCAACTCCTCAGACAAACACCTACAAGATCTTCACCAAGCATTCCTGAAACTACAATATCCACCTGAGGAAGTGAGGAAACAGATTGACAGAGCCAGACGTGTACTCAGAAGCCTCCTGTACAAGACAGAACCAACAAAGAAAATAACAGAACACCACTGGCCATCACCTATAGTCCCCAGTTAAAACCTCTCCAACACATCATCAGCGATCTACAACCCAACCTGGACAATGATCCCTCGCTCTCACACACTTTGGGAGGTAGGCCAGTCCTCACCCACAGACAACCTGCTAACCTGAAGCAAATTCTCACCAGCAACTATACACCACACCACAGTAACTCTAACTCAGGAATCAATCCCTGCAACAAACCTGGGTGCCTACTCTGCTCACATATCTACACCAGCGACACCATCACAGGACCTAACCACATCAGCCACACCGTCACGGGCCTCATTCACCTGCACATTTACCAATGTAATATATGCCATCATGTGCCAGCAAATGCCCTTCTGCCATATACATAGGCCAAACTGGACAGTCCCTACGTAAAAGAATAAATGGACACAAATCGGATATCTGGAATGGTAATATACAAAAACCTGCAGGAGAATACTTCAATCTCCCTGGACACACAGTATCAGATTTAAAAGTAGCCATCCTGCAACAACAACAAAAACTTTAAAAACAAACTTCAAAGAGAAACTGCAGAGCTACACTTCATCTGCAAATTTGACACTATCACCTTAGGAGTAAACAAAGACTGTGAATGGCTAGCCAACTACAAAAGCTGTTTCTCCTCCCTTGGTGTTCACGCCTCCACATCAGCTGCTAGAAAAAGGCCTCATCCTCCCTGACTGATTTGACCTTGTTATCTCTAACCTTACTCTTGATTGGAACTCTTTTTTTATGCCTGTATATTTATTCCTGCTTCTGGAATTTCCACTACATGCATCTGACAAAGTGGGTCTTTACACACAAAAGCTTATGCTCCAATAAATCTGTTAGTCTATAAGGTGCCACAGGACTTCTCGTTGTTTTTGAAGGAGAGTGTTATTTTAATTTCACAATGCCACATCCACAATGATAAGTATAGGATTTTGGTTTTCTCTAGAAGCTTAAAAATCTCAGCTGCCACTTTGTATGACCCTTTCAGAAGCCAGTCATGAAAAGGAATGTTACAATTTTTTCCTATTAAAAATGACTATTTTAATTATCTTAAAACCAGTAAAACTATTATTTTTCTTCTGTATTGTTTCCACATAAAGCTTTAAAAAACTGCTACATACAAACTCAAAAAACAAATGCATTGTAGTTAAATAAATAAAAGAATACAAGCCACACATCTGCCAGTTATATTATTGATAATGCTGTTGAATTAACTTGGAAGAACTATTTATCTAATGATATTTTTCAGAAAACTATCCTAATGAGCAGCTTTCTGAATATGTGTACAAATGTCTAAAGATGTTGTGCTTTTAGTCTTATGTACCTTCTTCATAATAATTTTGTTTATTAATAAAGTAAGTCTATATACTTCAAACCAATTGGGATGTGGAGCGATGTATCTCCCAACAAATCACTTATTTACAAGAATGTTAAAATTGATAAGTGATTTGAAAATATCCTTCTACAGCAATTTTTAATGTGATCTTGTAAGAATTACTGACTTAAGGTATCAAGTATCAGAGAGGTAGCCGTGTTAGTCTGAATCTGCAAAAACAGCAAGAAGTCCTGTGGCACCTTATAGACTAACAGAAGTGTTATGCTTATGCTCCAACACTTCTGTTAGTAGTCTATAAGGTGCCACAGGACTCCTCAATGCTTTGACTTAAGGTAGCTTGTTGGTAAGATTATTTATTTAGGAACTAATTTAAGAGATTTTCAATGCATCTGCCAAAAAGAAATAGTTGTAGAAGCTTACTCTTCATCGGTTTGCACACAGTTATCCAGTTCTATCACATGGCTCCCAATAAACCAAACAAGGTTGGAGAAGTAGGGGACAGCAGTTTTATCTCGAATGTAGTGCAACATAGGCTGGTTGTCCACTGATGAGAAGTTTAAAAAAAATAAAAGTTTCAAAAAGATAAATATAAAAACAGATATAATCAACTTACCATTCTGAATTTCCATTACATATTACATTTTTTTAAACACACACATTTGCATGGGTTTCTCTTATCCATGAAAAAGACGTCTATCAAAATTTCATATGACAACTCTTGAAAGGCTTAACGAGCCTGTTAAATTCCTAAGCTTATTTTTACATTAGTCTCAGAATAGTGAGTAAATCTACTGCAACTCAGAAAAACCACACTCTATTCAAATGAGTTGTCTTTTTAAAAAGACAAGTGTAAGACTAAAGCAATAATGCTGAAAGCCAAACTTGTTAATAGACTTACATGACACTGCATTAAGGAACACAGGAATCATCAGTGAGGAAAGGCAAAAAAAACAGACAACAGTTAACAGGATTAGGAACTGGGGTGGTGAGACATCTTCCAAAAAGGTTAAAGAGCTAAAGCAGGAAGCATCTAAACTAAAAGATACAGGTTAGAAGGTGTTAAATCAGAACATTTACAAATGGATAGTCAGAAAATTATGAAACCTGTATGTTTGATAGTTGTGTTTTTCAAATTCAACCCCCGCAGCTCTCCAACATTCAACTTAAACTCTAGACAAGAACATCATAAAACTTTCCTTGTTATTTAATAAATGTACACAAAGTATGAAGTATATCATACTTCACTGTTCTTGTAACAACTGGCTCACATGCACAAGGTTAGGTGTTAGAGAAAAACTGACATGGATCCTGCTTGTTGAAGACAAGAAAGTGCCACATTTTGTACTTAAAGTCCAGATACCAACACAGCCATAAAGTGTCCATAAGCAAAAAAGTTTCATGGTTATCATGTAAAATGTAGACACTTAGCAACCACATTGCTTCAGAGACGTCTTATTCAATACAGAAACAAGTAGCTTTTAAAACATGGAGTTGAATTTTCTCCAGCCTTAGGTTTAGTAATCAATAATTACAGTTACTTTAATGTCACATTTGCCATTTTACATCCTGCATTAACTTGGCTACATCTAGTAATAGGCACATTCTAATCAATTCAATGTGTGAGAATGGCATAGAGTTTGAGAGAACTAAAATCAATCCAAATCACGTTATTATTCTAGCTATATATATTATAGCTTAAATGATAAATTGTTCAGTGTGAAGTCTAATGAGAAAATCATCAGCATGAGGTAAAAACACCATGTTTACTTTGTATCTAAAAGTTCATTAGAAAATACTAATTTTTGAATAGTCATTTTTCAGTCCATGCACAACTATAACACCTGCTGATTTATAGTCAATTTTATGATCAGTTTCATACTGGTGGTATGAAAGTCTTCTTCCAAATAAATATTAAAATTCCTCTTAAATTTGTAATGTGAAAAACTGTATAAAAATTGGAAAAAGACTACATATTTTAAAAGACCACTGCAGAATAAAAACCTGTATATGAATGCATATCACCATGCAGAGCACTCTAGAGCCTGGCACGTTTTAGAAGCAAGAATGCTATGCCTAGATTATGCAGGTGAATTTACACAGAACTACACAAAACAAATTGTTTCTATAAGAGAGTGCAAATTACTTGCTTGCACAAAGAACAACTTATTGCTAGCTTTTATCCAACCACCAAAACGTAGAATCACAGTCATACACCAAAAAAATTAAGGATTTCTGCCATACAAATGATTGTTTCTGACATTATAAATGTTCAATATATCAAGAGACTGATATCCTTAACAAGAAACTAACACTTTTTAAATGGCCGGATTAGGACCTCTGCTGGTAGTTGAGGTGAATTTAATTGTGTGTTTTATATTATGTTGGCACAATATTCTTTATGAAAGACAACATACTGATGTTTAAAAACAAACAGTAGATTTAAATTTGTCTTTTTTTAAAGATTTTATTTATATATATATATATATATATATACACACACACACACACACACACACACACACACACACACACAAACCACATGTATGTTTGTTACCAATGCATGCTTACAATTAATTCAGCCTTGCATAAACCAGAAGCTATACCTGACAAATATGCAGTTTGTAATTGCTAACATTGAACTTCAGCTACACAAAGTATTAGGTGTATTAGTCTTCTGATGCATGAAACTTACCTTTGTAGACATTTAAAGTTATAGTCCTGACGGCAATTCTGACCATGGTCTCTGGGTGGTTAAAAAATTTAATGGCCTCCGTATACAAGGCAAAATCATTAGTATGCTGAAATAAAAATACAGGCTTCATTATGTACTGTCCTGTCAAACATACTATTTTCTGTTAGGATTTTGCACGAAAAAGTTACCCTACTAAGATAACAAAACAGTTAGATCAGATCAGATCAGATCACATTATTGCATGGTACTATAACTGTGGGCAAATTTAGTCATTTTTAACAATTCTTTTTAAAACAAAATCTGATTTTCAAACACCAACTAGGTTTGCAGGTATATGAGTTTATTACAGGAAATATGTATTAATGTAAGTTTCATATACTTCACACAATAGCTCTGATACTTTTTAAGCAGCTCTGATGCCCTCTTCTGGCAATAACAGTTATGCAAAGACAGAGAAATAAGACTAAGGGTATGTGAAAAGTTCATCTCTTAAACCTGCAACTAAATCAAAACAGGTGGATCTGTTTACACACTGACTTTATGTGGGTTCTCTCCGAATGGATTCAAATGCAGAATTAGGACTTACTACAGTACTTTATTTAGTTGTAATCTGTAACACAAAATTCTTATTCTCTGAGCAAGCACTGCATTCTCAGAATTATGAATTAAGTTTGATGTTGCAATACCAAGTTCTGTGAACATTTATAATTCAAAAGGTAGCAGTTGAATGAGATCAAAACACTAATATTTAGTAAAATCCAGGAAGTAGTTTTAATACATATGCAAAATGCCAATGAATGAAGATTATATAAAATTTAGATACTCTTTTGCACTTAAATATGACTATATTAAATTCTACTAAATGGAAATCTAACTTAAAATATTGCATAAAGATTTACTTTGTTTAAGGCAGAGATTTATAAAGCTAACTATATAGTCTGATGTTATTATGCACACAAAAAGGTAAAAATGTTGAAAGAATCATTACAAATGTTAACTTCTGCCACCCACACTGCAGTGGATTTATATTTAGCCCATATCTATGCAATGGGCACCACAGCAGCACAGCTAAGGCTCCAGAGCTAATGCCACTGTAATACCATACTGTAGACCCGTGGTGTCCAACACGCTGGACAACATGTAGCTATCTGGCTGGTTGAGTGCAGCTAGTTCGCCATAGTAGTAGCCACCGTAACTGGTTGGACACCATCACTGTAAATTCATGCTACTGTGATGAAACTCTACTTCCCTAAAAGACAACAGCTAGGTTGACTGAATCACTGTTCAGTTGATGTAGTCATATCTACACCAGAGGTTAGGTCAGTGAGCTAGTGTTCACAGGTGTGGATTTTTTAATACCTTGAGTACTGTAACTATGTTTACGTGTAGACCAGGACTTCACTTCAGAGGCTGTAGTTTTTAAATCAAGAAAGCTGGTTGTGGTATGGGATTGAAAGTTATCCTCTACAACTAAACAGTTTTGGACAATCAATGACTACTTTGCTGGGTATTTGTGGACTCTGATCTTGAAGCTTTTAGCATCTGTTAATAATACCATTAAGCCAGGTATGAAGAGTGGGAAATACTCACAAAACAGACATTTCATAGCACAAAAAGATTCCTCCACACTCTTGTTTCAACATGCAAAACTTGATCCTGAGTTTCTTACTTATTGCTACCACAGGAGATATTCTAAACTGCAAATAAAGCTGGGTCAGTCCTCGAAAGACGCTTGTGTTGAGTTAAAGTGCAAAGGCTCACGGATAAGAGGAGTCTTTCTGGGATCCACGAAAATTTTGGCCTTAAACTCACTTCTGTATATACTGCAGTTAGTAAGGCTTCTTACTGTGAATTCTAACAGCCACTTACCTCATTGTAAAAGAAGTGTACAGTGTGATTGTTGAGTTTCAGGGAAAGTGTTTTCAGAAATGAGATATAATATGCCATGATCTCCTCATCAGAAAAGTCAAATTTGTGGACAATGATAGAATTTACATAGTTATTAGAGAGCAAATAATCTGAAATACAAACCCATATAACATAATCATAAAGGAAAATATTATGAAATAGGTTATTATACATAAGTTTCCATAACATTTAATTTTTATTTCTTTATGACTTCTAGGTTAGACTTTTTTTTGTTAATTTGTTTAAATTTTCACACTTGCAGGCAACTGTTAGGGAGGGGTGTGAGTAGACAATTGAATGACAGTAGACATTTAAAAAGTCAGTTCCACAACTGCTAAAAAACACAAATTGTCAATATCATGTTTCTAAACAATGAAGCAAATATCCTTAAAACAAACTAAGTTCTCAAGCAGCCTCCATAAATTTTAATCATCATTGATGGAAATAGACTTGGTTTTGTGTGTGTGTACAGTAAAATCAATGTTTATCCTTACTTAGTAATAGAAAACAAAACCTTCCAAGCCTAGTCTACCATATATGCGAGAGTGTTTGTCTGTATATGAGTCTCTGTCCAACAACTCCTCCTGAATGGTAAGAGCTAGGACAGGGGTGGACAATAATTTTAAATGAGGACCACTTCAGAAATTTCTGAAGTGGTCCCAGGCTTCCGCAAAAGGGGTGGGGCCTTAGGCACAAGGGGCAGGGCCAGGAAACTTCCATGCTTCCCCACCCACAGACCCTGACTAGTCTGGGGGGCGGAGGGAGAGAGCATGTGAAGTCTCTGCCCCTACTCCCTGGGGGTGAGGAGAGCACAAAATTTCTCACTCCCTGCTCCTGAACCCTGGTGGCTGACTAAGCACCACGCGCCCCTGGTGCAGGAGATTTTGCATGCTCCCCCATCACCAGGCCCTGATTGGCCTGTGGGTGGGGGAACGGCAGGCCAGATCAACTTGTTTGGTGGGCCGGTTCCAGGCCACAAAGGCCCTTTTGCCCACCTCTTAGCTAGGACCAGCAAATTCAGTATGCCGCTTCCTCTTATTGTAACTTAAAACAAGGTAAGATTTGTGCCAGGAAAACAGGATGTGCCTGAAATGGGATTGCTTCTCATAAAAATCATACAGAAAAGATACAGAATCATCAGGTAGCTCAAAGTGGCTAGCTCAGAACATGCCCCCCTCTCCCATCCGGGATTACCTCAGTCCCAAGCCATCCACACACACTCCCAGGTGATCTTTAATGAGGATGGGGGGGGGGGGGCATATCTACACAGCAGGGCAAAAGTAGAATTAAGATACATAACTTCAGCTACATCAGTTGCATAATTGAAGTCAAAATAGCTTAATTCAGCTTTTGGCACCATTTAACACAGCAGGAAGTCGAAGAACACTCTTCCTTCAACTTCCCTTACTACTCATGAAATGAAGGTTACAGTAGTGAGAGTAAGAAGTCTGCCATCACAACATTATTTTGAAATGGCTTGCTGTGTAGACGCGGACTATGTTATTTCAAAATAACGTCAGTTATTCTGAAATAACACTCCTGTGTAGATGTACCCTACACATACTGTAGCTGGTAATCAAATCTTAGATACTTCAAATCAAGTGTTTTAAATAAACAACTTTTTTTCCATATTATTTACCCTCAAAAACTTATGTGCAGACTCTCTTCTGGCCATTTTTTCCCCTCTTATTTCGCAAAAACTTATTTTTTCTCCCTTCTTATGTTTCTAAAGGACTTTAACATTCACATGGCATTTTGTTTAGATACTAATCCACCAATAGTTCTGAAACAGTTAAGTACACATATTTGAGACTCTAACCAATGGGTGACTTTCTTGGGTTGTTAATTTTTAAATACCTCATTTGAGAAGATTTAGAATCTAGAGCAGAGGTGGGCACTAATTTTGGTAAGGGGGGCCATTTCATTAATGTTGGTAGTGGTCCTGGGCCAGACTCAGAAGGACCAGGGCCTCGAGTAGAAATGGTGGTTCCTTCTAGGCATCATGACCAGGAGGAAGGAGACTTCTTGCACTCCCCATAGGGTAGGGGACGACAGGAAGTCTCTCCCTGCCTCGCCTCATTTGCCAAGGATGTGCAGGACCCACAAAGAACCACTAGCCATTCTGAACAGCTGGTGATTCCCTCTGGTGCCGCTTGCTGTTGGTGGGGGGAAGAGACTGAGTGCTCCCCCGCCCCCTGGTCTCAACTGACCTAGGGATGGGGATGCAGCAAAGGAGGCTGTGTGCCAGATCAAACAGCTGGGTGTGCCGGATTCGCCCACAGGCCACCCCGATCTAAAACATACTTAACACACTGTTCACATTTCTGTTATTTTGTGCCTAGTTTATTTTAAATGACCTCTTTAAAAAGATCACATATTAAACCACTCTTTTTTTTTTTTTTTTACACTATTTTCTTTCAACAGTACAACTCAAAGGTTTTTGTACTAATGGAAACTCATGCTGAACCATCTTAGAGTAGAGTTAATGATCTCAGAAGCAGTTAGATACTTTGATTCCTAAAAATGTTCTTATGCATTTCCTTTTATAGTTAATAAAATGAAAAAAGAGCAGTTCCAAAAGTACTTATTGTTTCATAATAAGAACTAAATGTTTAATAAGGAATGTTTTCTTACAGAGTGATGTCTCGTGACTAATATTCTCAAAAAGGATGTTCAAGGTCTGCAGCAGCTGTACACATACATAACGACCAGATTTCTGACGCAGGATGTTCAAGAAGAAAACAAACATGTTCTTCTCTAAGAAAAAGCTAGAAGGTAATGAAAAAGTGTTACTGAGTCATTTGTGTATGTATTGCCTTTTTTTTTTTTTTAAGGTGAACTGTTGATTTAAGTAGGAGGTTATTTTCTTTTTTAGAAGTTTGTAAAGCTTTGTAATATTGCATCCATTTACCTACAAATAGTACCTCTCTGACAACCTTCTGGTTACTTTAATCTTTGGAAGTGCACTCAAGAAACTTACCAAAAAAGATAAGATCTAATGGCTAATGAGATATGTAATCTCCAATTGAACAGAAATGTAGGCTTCCACCCTACAAAAACTCATGAAGGCAGCTGCAGAGAAGGGTATTTGAGTGGAAATATTTTACTAGGATTTCTGAGAGCTTTAAAAAAATATCACGTCAGTTTTTCTTTTTTATTTTGGACTATTTTTGTTGTCATTCAAGGAGGGGAAATCAAAGTGTAGAATGATTCAGTACCCTCACGAATGCCCTGTAGACTAAAGGTTACAATATCATAGCTACTGCCAAAGCTTATCATGGCATATGGACATCAAAATGGTACAATGCTTTGAATTTCTCAGTTTTTTTAAATAATCATTTATTGTTTCCTCTAACAATTTCTCATCCTACAGAGGATCTGTATGTTACCTATCTAGTAATACCAGTTACATGAACATGCACGTTTGTAAAGCAGTCTTAAGAACAGCAGCCATGTGCCACCATTTT